GCGTCCACAGCTGTGCCGAATCTGAGGGGCTCAAGGACGGACACCGCGACCACAACTATTAGATGAGCGTTGCAAAACTTAAAGAATATACAAACTCCATCTCCGGTTCATATGAGCACCCCTTCGAAACCATGATGGATGAAGGGGTTTACACATATTTGGAACCATAGAAAGGGGGTGTTTAATTTTGGGAGATGGGATGAAGCAGCTCATTTTCAAAAATGTTTTTCGATGTGTATCAAAGGGAGGCCATTTCGTGGATTATGCCTGAAAAGCAAAGTTATTGAAGAGGCAGAAATGTGATCAGGCTTTCGTAGTAGGCCATCCAATTCGGGTGTTGCTTCTGGTATTGAAAGTCACCATGTTTCAACTAGTAGTTTACGGCCTACTTCATCCAGACACGGTTGATAGTCCATTGCCATAGTTGACTACTCAAGGTACTGGTTGACAAAGGATCAACCTTGGTTTTCATCATGTCGACATATATTAATGTATAAACCAAAAAATGAATTTCAACACCTTTTCAGCGCGGGTGCTTATCAATCTTATCCTGAAATTGGACAAATGGTCAGCATGCAAAACTGTATCATGACATGATTTTTCGTCATGGCAGTGGAGGTCGTTGGTGTCGTTCTCAAAGTAACGCTCGCCTGGACGCACTGGCTGCGGCAATGCGTCGAAAAGTTCTCCCAGGTATTAGTCTACTTAATGGGATGAATCTACCGCGCATTGTGTAGCGGAGATGCTGGGAATAAAGGGATACAATGGGGATAAAGCCAAGCATGAGCATGATGGGATATGATTTGATTGGAATTTTCATGGGATACTGGGTAGTTTGTTACATAACTTTTTATACTATGGTATAGCTGGCCCATTTAGTCACGAATGATTTCCGTTTTGAACGAACATTGTGATTTTCCGTAGCTATATTGAATTACTATGGGGTACCCCAGTTCATGGTAAGAGAGAGAGAGAGAGAGAGATATATATATGTAGATATGTATATATATATATAATGTAGGTATATTGATGATTAACCTGATTAACCTGGGGATGGACTGGGATATCGTATTTTCACGCAAGCCCAACTCTGGATCTCGACAAAGGTCATGATTTTACCCCACTCGGGTCTCTACCCCGGGATTTCCAACAGCAATTACTGTAGTTCAGAAATGCGCAGAGACAAATGAAGACGTTAAATCAGAAAGTGGTCGTTGCTGCAGACTGACTGTATATAGGTAAAAACAGGGGACCATAATCCACCCATTCGTGCGAGTAGCAGCAGCCAACGTTGAACGTTGTGATTTGGGACCCGCCTTACTGCGCAGCTGTTGTGAAGACAAACTGTTGCACAGTTGGTTCCATGGCGTCTATCCACATGTCTCACGGACGAGATCCCTTTTCTTCACGTGACAAACTATCAAGTTTGGAGTGTGAAGACTTTTTTACATTGTACTTTGATTGTCAGCGAAACGGCTGAAGAACCAGGCGTACACCCCTCAATGTCTTTAGTAAGTACAAAGTCTTACTGGCCACAAGCCGATGTTTATGGGGAAAAAATGATGGTCTATGACCCTGAGTCTCGAAAAAGAGTAATTTTACACATCTTAGTGATTTACTATTTTACAGTGATTTACTGTAAATTTGTGGGAACGCAAATGAAATTAGTAAATACCTTTACCTTCCACCTAAATATGCGATTTTAAGATAATTTTGTGTTTGGCCAAGTCTTGGTGTTATGTACTCTTGTTTTTTTGTTGTTGTTTTTGTATATTTTTGTTTTTTTGAAAAAATTGAAAGAACAAGATTTGTTTTATGCGTATCTAATTTCACACAAGTAAGGAAACTGCGATCGCAAGTAATTCATTTCGAATCGCAAGTAAGGGATTTGAAGAATGAATTCCAGGAAGACAGCATCTTGGACTTGCAGAAGAGTAGAGACCTGTTTTCCCTTTTGAAAACTGCTTTAGATAATTTGATGGCAGCTGCTTGCTACAAGGCTGCTTTAGATAATCTGAAAGATAGACAAAGGAAAAACAGAATTACATATCTATCCACAAATATACATTTGTATTTATCAATTAGACTTTTTTGTCTTTATGACTCAAATCTAACAATCTGCACGTGAGATGAGGTATGTATTTGAGGAACCTTGTGGAAATTCTCTATGTTCCACATTATGTTTTGGTAAATGTTTCAATAAGTTTTCATAGATTTCAATCCAGAGTGCGAGAAATTTCCATGTATTTTGTATGTAGTTTTTATGAATTGTATATGAAGTTTCTATGTAGTTTATATGTAGTTTATATGAAGTTTTGAAAACTACATAAAAAGTACATGTACTTTTATTCAAACTACATGTAGTTTCTGTGTAATTTTGAAAAGTGCATATAAACTACATAAAAACTACATATAAACTACATAGAAACTACATAGAAACTACATAGAAACTACATAGAAGATTCATCTAAAGTTCATACATGTTTCTGAATATCTCATGAACATCAAGACAATTTTCATGAGAAATTTTCAACATCACATACAAACTAGACATAAACTTCATATAAACTTTACTTTCTCTCAGAAAAAATAATCTTGCATCTGTTCAATTTCGATCTCATCTGTATGGAACCTATGTTCACAACAAGATACTTGTTTCCACTTGAATATGAAATATATCAATCTATCACTTTCATATCAGTTGATATCACCTCATCTCAAGTAAACAACTTGAACACAAGTAAACCTAGATGCCAAAATCTGACAGAAAAAAAACCTCTCCACATGACGCAAGCAAGCAATGACGATGACTCAAGTAAAGGAACTGCTGCTCACACAAATAAAAAAAAACAACTTTTGTTCACATTTTCAGTTTCCTATTTACAAAATACAATTTAAAAAAACGGAAACACACTTTCATGACATACATACTTTTTAACCGTTTTACAAAACAAAAAATTTAAAACATAGACCAAAATACTAAAAAACACCTAAATCATTTTAGAAAACACCTAAATAAATTTACATGCAACCTAAATTTACATTGCAACTAAATATTTACGTAAATATTTACTGTAAATCACCAAAATTTACGTAAAATGAATGGTGTGTAAAATTACCCTTTTGCGAGACTCAGGGGAGTCACTCCATACTTTCCAATGGTGACTTGAAACCACCAAATCTGCCAAGCAGCTGCAGAATGCGGTCGCCTCATGGATTCAGACAAGTCTTCGTCCTGTGCTGGCTGCGGCCTGAGAATTTCTGCGGGGCAAAATGATTAAACAAAACGTTGGATGAAAGATGTGGACCTGAAACTTAAAAGATATCAATATATATATATATATATATTATGTGGTTTTCTTCTTTTTTTTTGAGAGGCCAAACTGGCGTAACACATACTTATAATATTGTCCCCAGGGAATCCGTTTGGCCTCTACCTGAGATTAAAAAGGGCCATTAAATGCTCATGAAAAATGACTTATCCCAACAAGAGACCCCAAACAGTGTGGGGGTGTTGGAGGATAATGTATGATAATGATGATGATGATGATGATGATGATGGTGGTGGTGGTGGTGATGGTGATGGTGATGCGGGTGATAATGTTGCGGACGACAATGTTGAGGATGATGATGTTGAGGGTGATGAGGTGCAGGATGATCACGTTGAGGATGATGAGGTGGAGGATGATGATGTTGAGGATGATGATGCTGCGGAGAATGAGAATGAACAAGACCGCGGACCACACTTTGTGGGAGCCTGCGCAGTCGCAATGCATTTGGACATTTCACAAGAGCCACTTCGTACGAGAATTTGCAGGTAAAATGCCGCAGACCAAGAGCGCGACCCACACTTCGTGCCACCCTGCGCAGTCGAAATGCACTTTGACATTTCACAAGCCATATTGTACGATAAATTGCAGGTAAAATGCCGCATACCAAGAGCGCCGGCGCGACCCACACTTTGTGCGAGCCTGCGCCTGCGCAGTCGACATGCACGTGGACATGTCACAAGAGCCATATGGCACAAGAATTAACAGATAAAATGCCACAGGTCAAGACCTCGGACCACACTTTGTGCGAGCCTGCGCAGTCGGAATGCGCTTGGACATTTCGCATGTAGGAGAATTTATGGGTAAAATGCTGCAGCCACACTTCCTGCGACCCTGCGCAGTCGAAATGCGCTTTGACATTTCACAAGAGCCATAATATTGCACGAGAATTTACAGGTAAAATGCCAAAGGCCAAGAGCTCGACCCACACTTTGTGCGAGCTGCGCAGTCGAAATGCATTTCACATTTCACAAGGCATATTGCACAAGAATTTACAGATAAAATGCTGCAGGCCGAGACCTCGGACCACACTTTGTGCGAGCCTGCGCAGTCGGAATGCGCTTGGACAGCTCGCATGTACGAGAATTTACATGGGTAAAATGCCGCAGGCCAAGAGCGCGGCCCACACTTCGTGCGAGCCTGCGCCTGCGCAGTCGACATGCACGTGGACATGTCAAAAGCATTCACAAGCCATATTGCACAATAATTTACATATACAATGCCGCAGGCCAAGACCGCTACCCACACTTTGTGCGAGCCTGCGCAGTCGAAATGCATTTGACATTTCACAAAGAGCCATATTGCACAAGAATTTACAGGTAAAATGCCGCAGACAAAGAGCGCGACCCACACTTTGTGCGAGCTGCGCAGTCGAAATGCACTTGGACGTTTCATATTGTAAGAGAATTTGCAGGTAAGATGCCGCAGACCAAGAGCGCGACCCACACTTTGCGCGAGCTTGCTCAGTCGAAATGCACTTGGATGTGTCACAAGAGCCATTTTGCACGAGAATTTACATGCAAAATGCCGCAGACCAAGAGCGCGACCCACACTTTGCGCGAGCTTGTGCAGCGAAATGCACTTGGACCTCACAAGAGATACAAGAGCTATTTTGTACGAGAATTTACATGTAAAATGCCGCAGACCAGCTGGAGCAGCCTGATCAAGCACCGGCCTTTACACTTACCGCAAGAAC